ATTATTTATCTAGAACTTTTATATCAGCCTTTCTGCAGCGAACAAAAACGAAAGTAGCCCGTCACCGCAGCAGAAAAATCCAAGTCTTTAATGCGTGCGTTTCAGAATTTCGATTGTCGGATGATCTCTTAAAGTCGATATTCAATTTTTTTTAATTAATTACATGCAGAAAGACCAGTTCTTCACGACCAGCGTATTCATTAAGTTTTTTGCGCTTCTATTTTAACATTAGGCATAAAATACACGCGAGTGACCCGGAATAGGAGACGACCCGGAATTGGCGACTCCACTGTAATAAATCTCATGATTCGATAAATACATGTACTGATTCTACTGACAAATACTAATAATTAGGTTTGAGACAGAATAAAATTTAAAAATTTTAATAAGAAATGTATATGCAAGCAAAAATAATGAAAACAAAATGCAAACGGTTTACATATGAACACATTTTGAGTCAAGAAATAAATTTTAAACGTTTACTACTATGGTACATGTAAGATAATCCTCTCTGTATTTATTAATTTTTTGTCAATTCAATTGATTCATAATTGTTCAGTTATAGAAAAAAGTTCTTTACTATCTGCAGATTAAATGTGATGTACCGTTTTAAAAGTACGCAGAGAGAGAGAGAGAGAGAGAGAGAGAGAGAGAGAGAGAGAGAGAGAGAGAGAGAGAGAGAGAGAGAGAGAGAGAGGGGGGAGGGGTTTGGAAAAATGACTACAAAGATATTCTTACAAAAATTCTCTGCTTGTGTGGTCTCTGTCTTTAAAATTTAGTTACAGCTACCCATGAGTAGACGTAAAATTTTGGCCTAAATTTAGTCAGGCGTAACGATACGCTCTTTAATGAAATGCAAATATTCGTGCTAGTCCCGACTTTACGCCGGCGTAGCGCTACGACTGGGCGTACGACCTTTGATGAAAGGGGCCCCTGGGTATTAACTACAGATGATTCTTTTTAAAATTAAAGTTTAATTTAATTTTCGCTAGTAAAATTTAATCATATTTAAATTAATGATTTTAAAAAAATGAAAAAAAATTTTTGAATATTCCTTTTCTGGTCATTCACTAGTTCGTCTAATTAAAACGAAGCAAAAATCATTTTGTTTTCATCTTGAATCATTTAAAGCCATATATGGCGTATGTACAATGAAAATTATTAGACTAAAATTATAAGAACTTATTATTTGTATCATTACTTTATATAAACATGATAAAGATAGAAATTTTCCGTAAATTACAAAATCTAAGTCAATTGCGTTATATAGATATCAAAATTTAATTTGGATTCTCGGAATTGTCTCCGACTTGGAAGAAAAGACAAAAGATTTAAAAATAACATATTACAGAGAGGATAAAATCGTATTATTAGATAAAAAGAGGTGTTCTCCGTGCTCCGAATTGTATGAAAAGCTTTACTTTAAATGTATTAGCTATATTTCTTTACTTAATTTTGTATTTTTCAAAGATATATTTTTTGATCAGTTACGCCATATATGGCTTTAAAAAAACGCTACATAATTGCATGACACTCATCATTGAGCTGATTGAGTGAATGTATATAATTTAAGGAGGCTGGGGGGTCAACAATTTAACCACAAATTAACCACCAGATTTAACTAATTTTTTTAGATATGATATCTTAAGCTGTCAACTATCATTTGGCAAAAAAATATATTAAAAATTTTAGTTTTAAAATTTTATCATTTTCTATATCTTTATATGGAGCTCTTCTTTTAAAGGACATAGAAATAGTCTAAAAATGGCTGCCACCCCCCATCCTCGTTAATAATGAGATATCTGTGAGGCATATATGTACATGCAAATATTGCTATATTAAACAAAGGAAAGGGGGAATTCAAATTAGGAAATAAAAGATCGTTTTTAAGTAAATCAGTCTTGAAGTACTGCAAAATGGATGCAGTTGTGGAGATTTATGGATAATATGAGCATGCTGTCTGGGATATTTCCATATTAGGGAATTTAATAGAAAAAAAGAGTGAAAATACCGGTGGTGCTTTTCATGTATTACATGTGTATTTTAAAATTCCTAAAAGCCCAAGGGGATTCCTCAGTGCAGAAAACCACTAGCCCCATCCTCAAAAATGGAAGCCCCGGGTGTAGCGCGATTCTAATTACACACCCATCATGTGAAATAGTTATAGTAGCCCTATATCAATTTCAGCATTGTGTTAAATTAATTAAAACAAATGACAAAAACAATAATTTAAAAAATAATCAAAATAAAGCAGACACTCAGTCAAAATCAAAGACAGAAAGAAGCACTGTTTTGACTGAAAGTTTTTCAGTAATACAATGAATCTCTTAAGTTACATATCAAATGAGATAAACTTACATACAATTATTTAGTTGTTGTCAATTATCCCATTTATCATCATCTCAGCTCACTTTGCGATTGTAATACTGTCTACATGAACCGATAATTTACAGCTGATTTATGAACACACGATTGTTAAAATTTTCATTCCCCTTTCCAATATACATTGTCAGAACATACTTAGTTGGTTATGATATAAAATTAAATAATAAACACTTTCGATTTATTAAAGATTATCTAACAATATACGATCATTTACTAAATACTTTTCGCCCTCAAGAGAGTTAAAAAGACAGAGAAAATTCAAAATACAAACAAGTGCAACTTAGGATTAATTTTTCCGATCTATCTATTTTAATTTTGTGCACAATTGTTTTCAAAATTACATTAAAATCTATTTTCCTTAAACAAGAACCCAGCAATGGATAAATATTAATCGAATAAACTTACCTTTTCTCTTGTCAATCAGAAAATCTTGTTGACATTAAGTGTTTCTTAGTCGCCATATTTTTTTCCATGAAAACAAACGTTGTTATGATCAGGATCAACGGAAGTTGATTTTCGGAACTCTCGAGAATTTAGAGTTCCGAATGTAAAACTGAAACAACAAAACACGATGCGTCCGTGAAAGCAACTTTTTTGGACAAATCGTCGTGTCCAAGTTTTGTTGGGTACTAACCTGCAAATACCCAATTAGGGTGTTTTAAGCATATTCAGCGACACTTCTTATTGGGTATACCCAATAAGCAAAAAGTACCCAATAAGTACAATCTTGGCATGAAAAATACCCAATAAATGCACTCTCGTAAACACGGACAGACGGACGGACGCCGGACGCATTACTATCGCATAAGCTCTTCTGGTCTCTGACCAGTAGAGCTAATAAGGGAAGACGACAGTCGAAGGTGAGAAAAGTCCGGGTAGGTACATCAGGTGTTTGGTCACGATAATTAGTGTATAACCAGAAGTCTCTGTCGAGACTGAAGCTCAACTGGTTTGAACTTATAGCAAAGGAAGAGAAAAGTACTTAAGCAGCTGGGATTTGAAACTTTACAACAGCAATAAATAGAATAATGATCGTTGATAAAGTCTCTTTATGTTCTTAGTGTAGTCTACTTGTGTGCCAAGTTACATTGAAATCAGACCAAAACTGTAGGAGGAGTAGCATTTTGAAACAATTTTACAGATATTTCTATTTTTAGTAACCACGGCAACACCGTTCATCGAAATCAAAAACCGATAAACAGATTTATGTATTTTAGTGTAGTCTACTTGTGTGCCAAGTTATATTGAAATCAGACCAAAACTGTAGGAGGAGTAGCATTTTGAAACAATTTTACAGATATTTCTATTTTTAGTAACCATGGCAACACCGTTCATCGAAATCAAAAACCGATACACAGATTTATGTATTTTAGTGTATTCTACTTGTGTGCCAAGGTATACTGAAATCAGACCAAAACTGTAGGAGGAGTAGCATTTTGAAAGAATTTCACAGAAATTTCTATTTTTAGTAACCACGGCAACACCGTTCATCGAAATCAAAAACCGATACACAGAATTGTGTATCTTAGTGTATTCTACTTGTGTGCCAAGTTATACTGAAATCAGACCAAAACTGTAGGAGGAGTAGCATTTTGAAACAATTTTACAGATATTTCTATTTTTAGTAACCACGGCAACACCGTTCATCGAAATCAAAAACCGATAAACAGATTTATGTATTTTAGTGTAGTCTACTTGTGTGCCAAGTTATATTGAAATCAGATCAAAACTGTAGGAGGAGTAGCATTTTGAAACAATTTCACAGATATTTCTATTTTTAGTAACCACGGCAACACCGTTCATCGAAATCAAAAACCGATACACAGATTTATGTATTTTAGTGTATTCTACTTGTGTGCCAAGTTATACTGAAATCAGACCAAAACTGTAGGAGGAGTAGCATTTTGAAAGAATTTCACAGAAATTTCTATTTTTAGTAACCACGGCAACACCGTTCATCGAAATCAAAAACCGATACACAGAATTGTGTATCTTAGTGTATTCTACTTGTGTGCCAAGATATACTGAAATCAGACCAAAACTGTAGGAGGAGTAGCATTTTGAAACAATTTCACAGAAATTTCTATTTTTAGTAACCACGGCAACGCCGTTCAACGAAATCAAAAACCGATACACAGAATTATGTATCTTAGTGTAGTCTACTTGTGTGCCAAGTTATACTGAAATCAGACCAAAACATTGTTTACAGACAGACGGACAGACAGACAGACAGACGGACAGACGGACGGACGCTGGACGCATTACTATCGCATAAGCTCTTCTGGTCTCTGACCAGTAGAGCTAAAAACTGCCACAGGCGATAACGGTCATTTAAAGGCATAGGAAACCCTAATTACTGTATGTACAAGTGCAATGAACATTTTACGTTTTAAAACCGATGTTTTAATGCATTGATAATTAAGCTTAGAAATATTTAAAAATATACATCCGAGTAACCCGAGTACCGATTTTAGTATTCGATACTCAGTCGTTCGATCGAGTACCCGGTTAACCGGGTACTCGTTGACATCCCTAGTAAATATTCTTTGTATAGAGAGCTCTGCTTCAATGTAAAGCACAGCCCTTTGGTTTACTTGAAAATCGTGTTAACCTACCCTTTTAGCTGCAGGCCAATAATCCTCAACTTTTCGACCAGTGGCGTCCACTTTATTGTCTGGCTTGATGCCCTACAATTTAATCATTAAATTTTAAATAAGTATAAGACATTTTAAAATTTTCAGTTTATCATGATCAATGAAGTGTTCACCAGAACATAAAAAATGGAATTTCCACAATCATATAACGTTTAAACTGTGAATGAACTAATATTATAAATTCATCCTACATATCACCGAGTTTTCACCTTATTTATTAAAATAGTTCAATAGTGATTATTAGTGAGATTTTCTCTCAGAATCAACACTAACCCTCATAATACAGACAGACTCCATGACGAGTTTGACACCATTAGGGGGGTTAGCCATGGCCTTGACTACTTACCCTCATAATACAGACAGACTCCATGACGAGTTTGACTCCTTTAGGGGGGTCAGCCATCGCCTTGACTACTTACCCTCATAATACAGACAGACTCCATGACGAGTTTGACACCATTAGGGGGGTCAGCCATGGCCTTGACTACTTACCCTCATGATGCAGACAGACTCCATGATGAGTTTGACACCGTTAGGGGGGTTAGCCATGGCCTTGACTACTTACCCTCATAATACAGACAGACTCCATGACGAGTTTGACACCATTAGGGGGGTCAGCCATGGCCTTGACTACTTACCCTCATAATACAGACAGACTCCATGACGAGTTTGACACCATTAGGGGGGTCAGCCATCGCCTTGACTACTTACCCTCATAATACAGACAGACTCCATGACGAGTTTGACACCATTAGGGGGGTTAGCCATGGCCTTGACTACTTACCCTCATAATACAGACAGACTCCATGACGAGTTTGACTCCTTTAGGGGGGTTAGCCATCGCCTTGACTACTTACCCTCATAATACAGACAGACTCCATGACGAGTTTGACACCGTTAGGGGGGTTAGCCATGGCCTTGACTACTTACCCTCATGATGCAGACAGACTCCATGACGAGTTTGACACCGTTAGGGGGTTAGCCATGGCCTTGACTAGAGAAATGTCGTTCTGTTTCAGTGTGTCCAGGGCGGAGATAGCAGCATTCAGGGCAGGCATCGCTATTGCCAGTTTGGCTTCACATTCATCCTAGAGAAAGAAAACAATTACGTTAACTTCAATTCTATTCCATCTTTGGTCTCATGTCCCTTAAAATATCCCCAAAAGGCAATTTATGTCATATTCTGCCTTTCAAAGTATGTTGAACTTATTCATATTTACATTACATTATGATTTCTTTGATAATATCATCCAATTTTACAACTATGATGAATGACAAGATGGTTGTTGAACCTTCATCATTTCTAACTTGTAGCATTTTTGATTCCTAGTGACCTTGACCTACCTTGATGGCCTTGGCCTCCATGGCTGCGTTATTGGCCACCACTTCATCGGCCTCTACCACCTTTTTGACAGCCTCGACCTCCACGCTCTCTTTGCTGATGAACTCTATCAGCTCCGCGGTCTCTTTACTCGTTTGCACCAGTTTGGGCCGAAGTTCCACCAACTCCTGTTGCATGATACTGACCTAAATAAAGTCCATCAGAAAAATAAGTAAACAAGAGGCCCATGGGCCACATCATCCACCTGAGAAGCTTTGACCATTCTGTTCTTTACTAGATTTCCCCCTTGTAATACATACTGTGACCCCACCCTACCCCACTGATCAAAATTTAGACAATTTGAAATCTACACTACCCCAGGATGCTTCCACATAAGTTTCAGCTTTTCAAAGATTGTCCAATATATTTCTATGTAAAACTTTGATTCCCCATTGTGGCCCCGCCCTAACCCCTGGGGGTTATGATTTGTACAATTTAGAATCTACACTACCCCAGGATGCTTCCACATAAGTTTCAGCTTTTCAAAGATTGTCCAATATATTTCTATGTAAAACTTTGATTCCCCATTGTGGCCCCGCCCTAACACCCCCCCCCTCGGGTCATGATTTGAACAATTTAGAATCTACCCCAGGATGCTTCCACATAAGCTTCAGCTTTTCTGGCCCAGTGGTAATTAAGAAGAAGATTTTTCCTATATATTTCTATATAAAACTTGGATTCCCCATTGTGGCCCCGCCCAACCCCCGGGTGTCATGATTTGTATAATTTAGAATCTACACTACCCCAGGATGCTTCCACATAAGTTTCAGCTTTTCTGGCCCAGTGGTTCTTGAGAAGAAGATTTTTAAAGTTTTTTCCTATATATTTCTATGTAAAACTTGGATTTCCCATTGTGGCCCCGCCCAACCCCCGGGGGTCATGATTTGTACAATTTAGAATCTACACTACCCCAGGATGCTTCCACATAAGTTTCAGCTTTTCTGGCCCAGTGGTTCTTGAGAAGAAGATTTTTAAAGATTTTTCCTATATATTTCTATGTAAAACTTTGACTCCCCATTGTGGCCCCGCCCAATCCCTGGGGGTCATGATTTGAACAATTTAGAATCTACACTACCCTAAGATGCTTCCACATAAGTTTCAGCTTTTCTGGCCCAGTGGTTCTTGAGAAGAAGATTTTTAAAGTTTTTTCCTATATATTTCTATGTAAAACTTGGATTCCCCATTGTGGCCCCGCCCTACCCCTGGGGGTCATGATTTGAACAATTTAGAATCTACACTACCCCAGGATGCTTCCACATAAGTTTCAGCTTTTCTGGCCCAGTGGTTCTTGAGAAGAAGATTTTTAAAGATTTTTCCTATATATTTCTATGTAAAACTTTGACTCCCCATTGTGGCCCCGCCCAATCCCTGGGGGTCATGATTTGAACAATTTAGAATCTACACTACCCTAGGATGCTTCCACATAAGTTTCAGCTTTCTTGGCCCAGTGGTTCTTGAGAAGAAGATTTTTTAATGAACCCACCCTATTTTTGTCTTTTCTTGATTATCTCCCCTTGTTAAGGGATTTGGCCCTTCATTTTAACAATTTAAATTCCCCTTCACCCAAGGATGCTTTGTACCAAGTTTGGTCAAAGTTGGCCCAGTGGTTCTTGAGAAGAAGTCGAAAATGTGAAAAGTTTACGGACGGACAGACGGACGGACGGATGGACGGACGACGGACACAATGTGATCAGAAAAGCTCACTTGAGCCTTCGGCTCAGGTGAGCTAAAAAGGTCAGTAAAAAAACATTTATAAGGCAAAATCTATCATTCTGTCCAAGAGACCTTAAAAACAAGAGGCCCATGGGCCACATCGCTCACCTGAGAAGCTTTGACCATTCTGTTCTTTACCAGATTTCACCCTTGTTATGCATAATGCATCCCCACCCTACCCCACTGATCATAATTTAGACATTTTGAAATCTACACTACCCCATGATCCTTCCATGGGCACATATGTTTCAGCTTTTTTGGCCCAGTGGTTCCTGAGAAGAAGATTTTCAAAGATTTTTCCTATATATTTCTATGTAAAACTTTGATTCCCTATAATGGCCCCGCCCTTGCCCTGGGGGTCATGGTTCCTATAATTTAGAATTTACACTACCCCAGAATGCTTCCACATAAGTTTCACTTTTTCTGGCCCAGTGGTTCTTGAGAAGAAAATTTTCAAAGATTTTTCCTATATATTTCTATATAAAACTTTGATTCCCCATTGTGGCCCCGCCTTTCCCCCGGGTGTCATTATTTGAACAATTTAGAATCTACATTATACCAGGATGCTTCCACATAAGTTTAAGCTTTTCTGGCCCAGTGGTTCTTGAGAAGAAGATTTTCAAAGATTTTTCCTATATATTTCTATGTAAAACTTTGATACCCCATTGTGGCCCCGCCCTTCCCCTGGGGGTCATGATGTGAACAATTTAGAATGTACACTATACCAGGATGCTTCCACATAAGTTTCAGCTTTTCTGGCCCAGTGGTTCTTGAGAAGAAGATTTTCAAAGATTTTTCCTATATATTTCTATATAAAACTTTGATTCCCCATTGTGGCCCCATCCATCCCCCGGGGGTCATTATTTGAAAAATTTAGAATCTACATTATACCAGGATGCTTCCACATAAGTTTCAGCTTTTCTGGCCCAGTGGTTCTTGAGAAGAAGATTTTCAAAGATTTTTCCTATATATTTCTATGTAAAACTTTGATTCCCCATTGTGGCCCCGCCCTTCCCCCGGGGGTCATGATTTGAACAATTTAGAATCTACACTATACCAGGATGCTTCCATTTAAGTTTCAGCTTTTCTGGCCCTGTGGTTCTTGAGAAGAAGATTTTCAAAGATTTTTCCTATATATTGCTATATAAAACTTTGATTCCCCATTGTGGCCCCGCCCTTCCCCTGGGGGTCATGATTTGAACAATTTAGAATCTCACACTACCCCAG